AAGCTCTTTTGGCTCCTCAAATGCTCGATCACTTAACGATGGTCCACAAGTCTCAATCCTAGAAACACCATGGACACCATCAATACAAGCCAGTTACATTACTTGCCATACAAGCAACATCAACACATAGGCATGCATTTTATGGAAAACAAGGAAAATTACTCAAATGGTTTTCTAATCACATTTTCACCGATTAAATCTCATCCTAAGCATATTTTCCAATATACATTAAACCTCAATCACACTCCAACATAGCCAATCAAGCCACATATACATAAAAACCCTAGAATTCTCAAAACCATGAAAGCATGAAAAGAAAAGACTTTCTTACCACCAATCGCACCACAATGGCCTAAGGAATGTATTCCAATGCCCAATGAGACAATGCACCACCTCAAACTCCTTACAATGCCCCAAACCGCCACTTTCTTCAAGGTTTATTTCTTCACACAATCCTCTAAAATGGATTCCAAGCTATGGGTTGTGTTCACTAAAGAATCATATGTTTTTTTGCTTCCAACCATGTTTGATTCCATTGAGTAACAAAGAAAGTAGGTTTTCAAAGCCCTAAAAGCTCATAAATGGTGTTTCTCTTCAGTTTGCGTAAGGGGGTGAGTGGTTTGGTCAGAAGAAAGAGTGACTTTAGTGTTATTCTCAATTTTTCCCGCTGCTCGATAGGCTCCTTGCTTCAGCAAGCAACGTCTGCGAGTATTTTCCACGCTTGCTAGACAGCTCACTCCAGCGAGGAATGGCTGATAGGCCTTTTTTCGCAAAAGCCTAATTTCCTCACTTAAGCCCACTTATCCATTTAGCCCAAACATTTTCTTTATAAGTCCAAATATATATTAATTGAACTAAGTATTCTACTTATTTTATCTACAATGTGCTTTATAAATATTTAATCTAATTCTTTTATTAAGTCTCCCACTTAATTAATCTTGATTACACATGATTAAATAATTAATCTCGTGCAATTAGGCATTTAACAATTTGGGTTATTATATACTGGATGAATATTGCTCGTCTATAGCATGAAGAATAATCCCTGGTACCTCTTCTTCACCTCCAATCTTCTAATTAGTAACTTCTAACTCCACCATCCTTTTCATCCTCCTTATCATCCTACGTCATCAATAGGAACATTTTTCCTTTGCATACATGGTTCCGATTAAATTTTTCATCACAATAATAACATAGTCGTAAAGTATAATGGTTTGACCGTCACCGTCGATTCTTGCCATTGAATCATCCCTACAAGAAAAACAAGCATGCATTCACAAACGGCAAGGAAAAATATCAAATATACCACGCAGGCTTAGCGAGGAAGAAGTATGGCAGAGTGTGAGATACAAGTCCACTATGGAGGAAGTTGAAGACTTTGTTCTTGATGAGGAATATGGGCAATCTCATCATTAGACAAAATGAGGTATATTTTGGGAATTGCCTTATTGGAAAGATCAATTATTGAGACACAATCTTGATGTCTTGTATATTGAAAGAAATGTCTTTATGAATATACTTAACACATTGATGGACACAAAGGGCAAGACAAAGGATACCATCAATTCAAGAAAGGACCTTCAATTCCATTGCAAGTGATCTCTCCTACATTTAGTGGTCCAACCAAACGGAAGGGTAAGTAAACCCAAAGCTAATTACACCTTGAATAAAGAGCGAAGAATTGAGTTGCTATAGTGGGTGAAAGATATTAAATTTCCCGATGGATATGCATCCAAGATGTCTCGATGTGTTGATATGAGGGAGGCAAAGTTATTTGGCATGAAAAGCCACGATTGCCATATCTTCTTCCATAGATTGCTACCACGGGCATTCAAAACATTACCCAAGACTATATGGAATGCACTGATTGAGCTAGGAGTCTATTTTAAGGACATATGTGCATCTCAACTAAGTGTAACAAAATTGCAAGAGATGGAATTGAATGTCCCAATAATGATATGCAAGTTGGAGATTTTTTTCCACCTAGTTTCTTTGACTCAATGGAGCACTTGCCAATACATTGGGCATATGAAGCTAGAGTTAGTGGCCCAGTGCAGTATCGATGGATGTATCCATTTGAAAGATATTTGTCTTTCATAAGATTTCTGAAGTAGTTTATTTTTATGATATTATAACTTCAAATAAATGTGAAAACTTGGTGATCAAACATAGGCTTATTCGGACTCTTAAACAAAAGGTTAAGAATTCAAATTATGTTGAAGGCTCTTTTGATTAGTATATGAAAGGGACTTTTGTATATGTATGTCTCTTTTGATTAGTATATGTATTGGACATTTAAATATATAGGTCTCTTTTGATTTAGTATATGACAGGGACTTTTGTATATGTATGTCACTTTTGATTATTATATGTCTTGGACATTTATACATATAGGACTCCTTATGATTATTATATGACAGAGACTTTTGTATATGTATACTTCTTTAGATTAGTATATGTATTGGACATTTATACATATAAGACTCTTTTGATTAGTATATGGCAGAGACTTTTGTACTTATAAGACTATTTTCATTAGTATATAACAGGAACTTTTGTACACATAATTATATTAAGATCATTTGATTTTGATATGTTATTTACTTTCATTATATTTGTTTATTAGGTGCAAAACATAAATTAGTATTAATTTTGTAGAGAGAAAGTAAAAAATAAAATTTGATATTTTTGACGGAATTTCATTCATTTTTCGTTGAAAGTTTTTGAAGGAATTTGTTTTGCGTCGAAAATTATTACAAGATTTTTCGACGAAATTTCATTCATTTTTCATAAGAAATTTTCGACAGAATTTGTTTTGTGTCGAAAATTATTAAAAGATTTTTCAACGGAATTTGTTTTCCGACAAAAATTATTACAAGATTTTTTGAGGAAATTTCATTCATTTTTCGTCGAAACTTTTTACGAAAAATATTCCATCGAAAATTTTCTATGAAAATTAATTCCGTCGAAATCTTTCGACGAAAATAATGTGCGTCGAAAATCTTTGACGAAATCACTAATTCCGTCGAAAAAGTATTACCCACGAAGAGATATTCCACGACTTCATTTCCGCTGATAATTCTGTCAAAAATTTTATTTTTAACAAAATTTTAACAATTTTCGACGGAATTTTTCCATTAAAACAAGAGCATTTTTTAGTAGTGAACCATAAGGGTCTCTACCAGCAATAGAAAGGCTAAATGGCCAAGCAAAACAGAAATGCCAACTGAACAGAAATGCAAACAAACTCTGGGCTTCACAAGCACTGAGACCACTTTAGAATTGCCACAAAATTGAGTACTAGGCCCACTAATACAATTGTCACAAGCAATTAGGAATTAGCCACTTTTTGAAATAACAAAGTCCTTCAGCCAATGTGGTCTCGTCTTCACCCTGTTCCCTTCTCTGCATTGGCCACCCATCTCCCTCTCAATATCTCTTTGCCTCTCCTGATTATTAGGAAGGGGGAGCCCTTGTCGTTAACTACACATTAACAAATGAACTAATCCTCATTCTCTAAAGCCCAAAATTTCATTATAGAAATCTCGTAGCTAATTACACATAATTAGTAATCGACAACATATGAAGAAAAGAAAAGATCTATAATGACTAGCTTAGTAATTTTCACACTATAGTAGAGGCTAGTTAAAATTTCAGGAAAATGATAGGGATCTACTAAATAATATAATCAATCTTTTTTTATTTTTAACGGTACAAATTTTACTTTTGTTGCTGTATGAATAAAATCTAGCATTACATTGTGAATTATGACATTGCTGTTACTGACCTCCAAGACTGGCTACAATTAACAAAATGTAAAAATATTTTTGAACAAGAAACTACAGAAAACTTCGTTTGTGCAACATAAAACCTAAATTATTTTATTGTTTGCACATCAAGGTTTCAATTCTTCAATTGTTCACAATAGTACATGATTACAGAATCCATCCTTTTCGGATCATCCGGCTAAATTGGGCAAGGATTGTTAATATATGTGTTTTCCCCACTTTTATTTGGGTGAATGGACTGGAAAGCCCGTTACAAACTTGGGCCATGAGTCTGTAGACTGTTTACTAATTTGAAATGACTTTTTGGGTCAAATTTATCTCCGTTCATTTTCAACCTTCAAATGAACAAATAAAACAAAAAATATCTACAAATGTCAAATACTATCCATAAAAAAGAAGACATAATAAACATTGAACCAGCAAATTTAAAAATCCCAATATATAAGGAAAGTCCGAAAGACTGAGCACTTGATTTGGAACATTTTTTACTTTAAATTTTTTGTATAATCTTGAACAATTCTAAATGCTTCTTGAAATAAGTACGAGCTATTGAAACTTGAAAGAGTTAACAACTTAATTTATATTTTAACCCAATTAAACCTATTTTTATATTCAAAATAACTTATAATCAAATTTTTTAATTAAATTCATTTAATTGAGTGATTCATTAATTTAAGAAATTGATTTAATATATTCATGTCATGGGAGAAAATTCTACTCATATAAAAGTGAATCACCCAATGGTAAGTAATTGTTTCTATTAGAGAAGTATATAAACCATTGAATTGAATTGTTTTTTACAATTTCAAAAAAAAAGTGAATAAAAAATGATGATTTTATAATTACTTATTTCAATTTTTTTTTCTCTTTTCCTTTATTATTATTGATCTCTATACGATTATGATTCTCTTATATTCATATTAAATATCATATGAAATGATACACTCTCGTTCATAATAACGATTAATATGAGTATTAATATAAGCCTAATTCATAAGTCACCAACTCACCATGGAAATTGGACTAGAGTTAATATATGTTTAATTAGGTCACTTGCAGTAAAAATCGCTTTAGAACTTTAGAACCGGAGTTTCCCTCCCAAAAATCATGTCTTTAACAATATCCTATTTAATTTTTGCTTTCATTTAAAAAAAAAAAAAAAAACATCAAAACATAGGATTAGGACTTAGGAGCATGAAATAGAGAGAGAGGATAAGAAAACAAGAACAAGAACAAGTAGATATGGTGGTGCAGCAACACTCAAACTGAAACTCAACTTGCCGCCTCTCTCACTGTCTCTCACTCTAACTGTGTTGTGAAAATGGTGGTTGCACTATTGAGCTGCACTTCCTCATTCTCTGTGTTATCCTCCACCGTTAAATTACGCTACTCTCACAGACACAGACACAGACACATACACATACCCATCAATTCCATCCATTACAATTCCAATCCACAACGACTCTCCTCTTCCCCTAAATCCAATCGACAAGTAAACCTTACTCACCCCTTTCCCTTTTTCTTTGCACTTATTTTCCAAAAATCACTTTTTTCTTTTTCTTTTTCTTTTTCTTTTTTGTGTTGAAATTTCAGAAGGAAGGTGTAGGACAGAAGAAGCAGCTGAGGCAATTAAAAGATGAAAGGCATGGTAGAGGGAATGTGGTGGAACCCCAACCAAATTCTTATAATGAATTCATGTTCGACTCTGAGGATCAGCAGGTACACAAACACAATGACTTACTTTGTTTTTCAAATCACTGCTAGAACAGAACTGAACTGAACTGGACACCATTTACAAAGAAGTGTTGGGTTTCATTCCTACTGCTTTTGGCATTGACCTAACCCAAATGATTTTTTGGGTTTAAATATATTGGATGTTGATCAGTTTGGTTCACATTTACTGGAATTGTGCTTTTCTTATATTAAGTATCTCTAGCTCCACTGGAATTTTCCTTCTCTTTACTTTTAGTTTTAGGATTTTTAGGCCATTGAAGAGTAATTTCCCAGTGTAGGCACGGAATGCCACCATGTACCACTGGTGGAGAAATGAGGAGATGGATACTATATCAGAAACAAGAGGCATCTTTTCTTTTTTCTTTTTTCTTTTTAAATATTAGAGGAGGAGGTCATATTCAATGAAAGTGGCCCTTATTTTTCTAGTGGCCTTGAAGAGCTACTTGAGCCAAACTGATTGTTTCTCTTTGCATGCTTCTCCAAACTTCTTTGAATAATTATGTTCAATTTCAGGTTGAACCAAGTAATTTACAAGACTCGGCTTTCCTTAATGCTGTTGTGAAGGTGAAGTTTAACTCTCTTTATTCCTGTTAAAGAATATTATTATTACTTTTTTTTTTTTTTTTTGTCTCAGAAATTCAGCATTGGAGAGGGTGAACCTCAAAATTCAAAAATGTTATTTATTTCATGCCTCTTTTATGTCTATATATGTTTTCTGTTTGGTTCATGTCCTTGGCGGGGAGCTTTCATGGCATGTCTCTTGATTGACTGATGATTTCGAGTTTAATATTATTATTTGTCCTATATCTAAATTATCATTCATTTCATGATAATATGATTTGACACCTTACCCTTTACAATCCCTTAAAACAATGTCTCTTCATCTTTATAACAATGAGCAGATATCATCTTGTTAATTTAATATAATATTGTTCTGTTATACATTTGCATTGCTCTTTTATGCAATCTCTCTTTGTTAAAATATCTTGTTCCTATTACATCTTTAGGTCTACTGCACCCATACCGCCCCGGATTATTCACTTCCTTGGCAAAAACAGAGACAATACACAAGTACTGGAAGGCAAGATTTTAAAAACCTTAACTGTTGAATTGAAAGAATCCTTCTCTTCTTAATCTTTTAGGCCACATCTTGTGCAGTGCATTTATGATTGGAGGTAGGAAACTATTAACCAATGCACATTGTGTGGAACATTATACACAGGTGATTTTCCTGAATTATCCTATCTTCAGTAGATTATAGCTTTTTGAATATAAATGTATTAACGGGTTTATAGTAAGTTCTTATAATTGGTTGCCAAATGGACCTTATTTTTTAATAGCCTAACAAAAGTGAAAAGTTAGGAGAAATTTCTTGTTATTTCATATTGAAGAAAATCAAAATCATAGAAGATGTAATTCATAGAACTTCTCTTTGTTAGATGATAGACAATGCCAATTGGCTCTACCGCTCTATAATTTTATTGTGTTGAGTGTTAACTTATTACAAATTTGCACATTTAACTATAAACATCATGCTCGCTAAAACTAAAATTTATATTGATATGCCTTTTAACATTTCTACTTTATCCAGTTATTTGTAAGGTCTGATGCATAAGGCAAGTTAAGGAGATTCAATTGTTATCATCTTTTCGTTTTTGGGATGATTGCAGGTTAAAGTCAAGAGAAGAGGGGATGATTCAAAATATGTGGCTAAGGTGTGTCTCCTATGAAGGAGTTGTCCTTGTTTTTTTCTCTATATGCTTGTATCTAGTCAAACTTTGGGTGTCAAGAACAATTTGCTTGTATCTCAGTTTTCTGATCGTTCTTAATTTATGATGATATGGAAAAATGGAATTACTTTTATGTACAATTTATATTATAAATATACAGCCTTTATTTTGTATATCTCAATATTATATATATCATAAAATAATAATAAAATATCCCTATCATGTCAAAATATAAATATAAAGTATTAATTATTTCAATAATTTTTACCAAATGATATTATTCAACTGACAAGGGAAGGCTTTGAGAAATTGATTTTTAGCATATGTCCATATATTTACTTTACTCTTGGTGATGGAATGTATAGGTTTTAGCCAGAGGTGTTGATTGTGATATAGCTTTGCTTTCAGTAGAAAGTGAGGAGTTTTGGATGGATGTGGAACCTCTCAGATTTGGACGTTTGCCACATCTTCAGGTTTAAAATTTTCATTGTTTTGTCATTTTGTAAATGTGATTCCTTTCTTCTTTGGTACTGCTTCATTGTAGTCTTCCCTGAAAAAAGGATTATCTGATTTGTTAATGAAGTTAAAGTGAACTGAATGACGGATGTATGAACAGTCTATGAGGGTGTCAGATGGATTTACAGAAGTAGGTTGAAATGATATTTTCTTATCTTGTAAGGTACACAATGATAGTCATACTTTCTTGCTGGCTATTAAGTATTTAAAATCTGTTAAAATACCATATACATTAGGTGAAAAAGTAATATCTATCACATGAACTTAGAAACTGCGCTGCTTCATGTTACCTGATCAGTATTTGGTATCAAATGTTTAACTAACAAACATAAATTATAACATACTTTTCGGCAAGATTTTGAACTAGTCCATGGAAGAGTAAATTTCCTTACATACTCCTTTTATACACCCTCTCCACCACTTCAGGTTACAAAATAGTAGCTGATTTATTTTCATCATGATCTGCACCAAATTCCAAGATTGTACGGTTTTAAAAAATTATGAAAAATTTAAGAAATAGAAATTAATTGGACTACTTTTGAAAGCATATTATATAGTTCCATAAGTATAAATTTTCTTATATTCTATTTGCATGGTTTGGACTAAATTTCTTTATGCCTTTTTTTCTAACTTGTAGGATTCTGTAACTGTTGTGGGATATCCTCTTGGAGGAGACACAATTTCAGTGACAAAGGGAGTTGTATCTCGTATAGAGGTTTGATAGAGTGTAAAATTTACATTTCATATGTGCTGAAGTCAATCAATTTTTTTGTTCTAGAATTTTGGTGCTCAGTTGCTGAAAAAATTTGTAACCAGGTCACATCATATGCTAATGGATCGTCTGATTTGTTGGGCATTCAAATCGATGCAGCAATAAATCCTGGTCAGTATATCTTAAAATGGTTTAAATTTTAGTTGTGCCTCCTCTCTGGCAAAAAATTTCTGTGACCTATATTTTCCTATTCTAAATAGTATAAGTTATAACTACCACCCAGTATTGAAATAACTAATTCCTCATTTATGGAGTTATTATATATTGATGTGATAGCCATTGCTCACACCTGTTAAATTTTAGGTAATAGTGGAGGCCCAGCGTTCAATGACCAAGGGGAGTGCATTGGTGTGGCATTTCAGGTAGATTTTATGGCCTTCTATTAGTTGATGTGTTAGAGCTTACTTGGCTTGTATACTTTGCTATGAAAGGTCCACTTTGTAAGAAAAAATTAAAATAATTATTTTAGGGAGAATGACTAAATTCTATTAGTAAAGAAATAATATTAAATCAGATTTTGTTAGATATAAAATCATTCATGAACACTCACCCGATAACTTAAACTTTTGGAAGAGTTAGTTTTTGACATAGTATTTGAGTCTTTATGTCCAAGTGGTAAGGTATTCCATCCTTGCGCCCCCACTCATAAAAAGCCCAGAGGATCTTGTGTTAAATATAAAACCATTCATGAATTTTCATTTAAGAGCTTAAGCTTTTTGTGAAGTTGGTTCTTGACAGATCCTAATATGTATATTGCACTAACTGATATGAAATTCCATTAAGTTGTCTGTTATTCTGTTCATTTTCTTATGGGACATTACCTCTAGGTCTACAGATCAGAAGAGGCTGAGAATATTGGATATGTGATTCCTACAACAGTTGTATCTCATTTTCTGACTGACTATGAAAAGAATGGCAGGTATACTGGTAAGAAATTCTTCTAAAATATGGTTATATTGGTAGATTTGGTCAATCATTATGTTTACGGGAGGCATTGAATTATATTGCTTTGCGAAATTCAGTGTTTTGTCTAAATATTATTTTGTATGACTCTCAGTCTCTGAAAATGTCTTACTGATAGAAGTTTTAAGATGCTCAAAATTAGACTTCTGCAATGACAGTTATACTGATATAAGATGAGGTTTATAATCCTGTGCATATGATTTTTGCTAGACAATTTCTTGACCACCTAAAAATGTTCTTCACGTAAGTTGTTCTGTTTTGTGTGCATAAATTAATCTTCTTTGCAAGTTTGCACAAAAGAACAGCAATAACAATTTAAGTTCCCGGTTAGATCAATACATGTAATTTGGAGTCCAAGTTTGTATTCTTGCGATGTCCTATGGAACCTTTTAATTCCAGCTTGTATCTTGAAAAAAAGTTTACCACTACTGTATTTCACAAAGCATTATCATGTGTTCTGTCTATTTCGAACCAAACCTTCTAATCAAAGCTTAATTTGCAAACTATGCTGGCGGTCTGAAACTGTATTTTCACTCCTAGGTTTTCCTTGCCTTGGCATACTTATACAGAAGCTGGAGAATCCTGCACTACGTGCATGTTTGAAAGTACAGTCTAATGAGGTATGTTTTGGCTAAAACCTTCAGCGGTTGAAATAGTTTCTTATGCAACAAATTTAGTTGCATTATGCATGGAGATGATTTGTTTGAAAACTGGCAATTGCAATGCCAGAAGGGCCATTAACTACATTTGTGGGGCCTTCTTATCTTCGTATCACATTTGATATTACTTCAACTCTTGCTAACAGTAGTTTTTTTATAAATATCACCTTCTATGGTTACATTGTCTTGTTAGGTCAGATTCAGCTGTTCATGATTTTGATATGCATCTGCCAGTATCGAACATTTGTTTTGTGCTATGCTCATAAAACTTGTAAAGATTACCATAGAATTGTGCATGTGGTGGTTTGCTTTTATGAGAAGGAGAGTTCATTGAGGATCTGAGATGGAAGGAGTTGATTAAGGCAAGAAGATTGGGGGTCGGAAAAAAAGAGGGGGAGGGGAGAAGATAGGAAGAGGAGGAATTCAAGTTCCTATCCAATGTTCGATGATAGGGTTCTGGTGATCTATTATAACTATTTTTGGCTTTTTTCTCATAGAAACTGCTCATCATGCGATAATTTTTGTATCAAGGCTTTCATTGTGGCTATGTGTGGTTCTATACTAGTACTTGTCATATCTATTGTTAGTATAAATAGAATCATTGAGTCAGTATTTTGTATCACATCATTACACACCATACCAAGATAAACTTATTATTCCATGTATTTTTTCTCTCTTTTCCTCCTCCCATACCTAAACCCTATAATTTCAGCAATAATTAATATAGCATTGAATTTTGGTATTTAACATTTCCTGTCTTGTGCAGGGTGTATTGGTACGTAGAGTTGAACCAACTTCTGATGCAAATAATGTATTAAAGGAGGTATTGTTAATTATTTGACTTGTAATATGTTGTCCTTCAATGGCACATGAATGGACAGCCAACCAAAACATGAATCATTTCTTTGTTCTATACATAATAAGCCTAGTAGATGTTTAAATACCTAGTGCATTTGAATTTTTTAAAAATAGAATCTTAAAGGTGACAGGGCAAATTTAACATTAATTGCTATTTGTTTATTGGAAATAGAAGGCTGAGCTAGCTTTGGAGTCTAAATATTATCACGAACTTGGATTGCGTTCGAAAGTTCTTATCCATGAGATGTGTGAACTGTCAATAGCTGTGTGCATGCGTTCTTTATCATCCTTGTTTAAAATTTGTTCTTGTCTTCTTTTAGGTAATTCATTTGTAGATTTTTGTCATTAACCTTTTAAAGAAAAGAGTAGTAGTAGACATGCCTGTGGAACTTACATATGAATTCTGCCTTTTCGAAAATCCATTGAGCCAGTAATTAACATTTTAGATGAAACCTGCCGTTACAGGGTGATGTGATTGTCAGCTTTGATGATGTTCATGTTGGTTGTGAAGGAACAGTCCCATTCCGATCAAATGAGCGAATTGCCTTTGACTTCCTTACTAGTCAAAAGTAAGGGCTGCATTCTCTTCCAAATTGAACAAATTAAATCTGCATTTGATTTATAGTTTATTACTTAATTTTGATAATTAACTTTTCACGAAGGGTATATTTGTGATCTTTCAGCTTTGCAATATTAACACTGCTTACCATTTCCCAGTTTTTGCTATATTTTTGTAATAGAAAGGCTAAATTTTGTGGGTACTGAGGATATAAAGGGGTGGCAAAACTGGTCAATATGACATGATACAAACACAACACTCAACCCGTATATAATACGTTTTCGTTGACGGGTCAAAAACTCAAATCCGGACACAACCCGCTGCGGGCCGCGGGTCTACATGAAATGAAAAAATTGAGAATTTATTTAAATAAAATAAAATAAAAAGTACCAAAAACACCTGAAATTGACACCTATACCTGCAGGTCGACACGACATTACACGGGTTGACATGATATAAATAACATTTTATAATGTGAATTATCAAAAATATCCCCAATACGGATTGACATGCAGGTCGTGCGGGTCAATTTGTGAGACGACACGACACTAATTCATGTCAAAAACTTGAACTCATACACGACCCGTTTGAACCCACGGGCATGCATTTTGGTGTGTGATCGAGGGTCGACCCGCAGGTCATGACCTGTTTTGACACCCCTATATAATCACAATTGTTTCTGCAAAAATAATTGAACGCATGTTATATTGGATATACTCATATAGGCTGTTTATTTTGTGGCTTCTTGTAAGGTCTTATTGTGACAATATCTTAAAGCAAGTTTCAGAGCATTTGGCATTTGCTTTTCTTGGCCATTGATATGCTTAGAATGAAATCCTAGAGTAATGTTGTTGTACAGATTTGCAGGTGATACTGCAGAGCTTGGTATAATCAGAGAAGGGACATTAATGAAAGCTAAAATTGTTTTAAATGCACGGGTTCATTTGGTATGTTATATGTCGCAGAAATTTGGTATCAATTAATTTCACGATTTTGTTTATCTGATGCTCTTTGTTTTGCAATGCTTTTTCTTTCTCTTTAAGGTTCCCTATCACATGGATGAAGGTCAACCTTCCTATCTAATAATTGCCGGTTTAGTGTTCACACCCCTCTCAGAACCATTGATTGTGTATGTTGTATTTATTCTTCATATTTGGCAGTATTCAGAATTTTGTCCTTTCTTTTTTTTATTTTTTGGATGGCATACTCCTATTTGTGGTGATTTAATTAGTATTTATTTCATTAATTATGAAACTTTTGGCAGGGAGGAATGTGATGACTCTATAGGGGTATGTTCTGAATCTGTTTCGGTTAAGAAGCACAAAGATGGAAAACAATTAGTTTGTGATAAAGTTTTATTTTTTTTCTTGGTCAGCTAAAATTATTGGCAAAGGCACGTTATTCATTGCCCAGGTTTAAAGGGGAACAGATTGTAATTCTTTCACAGGTTGGTTGCTGGATTTCTTCAAAAATTATGTATATGATGTTTAATTGTATTCCTTAAATGTTTGCATCACATGTAGCATTTACTTTTTGTACCTTGATCTTATTTTATTAATTTATTCAACGATGTAATAACATTTGGCATTTTCGAATCAGATGTTTAGTTGCTGTGTGGCATAATTTTGCTTTGCTTCCCTTTCTGATTGACAGGTCTTAGCAAATGAAGTCAACATAGGTTATGAAGATATGAGCAATCAGCAGGCAAGTCATTTACATTTGTAAGATTGACACCCACTGTCCAACCCCTTCATGTATCTTTCTCTAATAATATTTTTTTGCAGGTTTTAAAATTCAATGGAACTCGAATTAAAAACATTCATCACCTTGCACACCTCATTGATTGTAAGTTGTTACATTCTTTATCTATTGTACGTTCATTTTCTTTTGCAATATGTCTATAAAGAACCAATTCAACCCAAAAGCTTAAGCTGGGTGAGGGCTTTTTAATGGTTTATACTATTCTCTAACACGCCTCCTCACACAAGAGCCCACTGGGCTTTGAAGGGTGGATAATGCACAGGCCCACCTACCTGTGTTAAGAAAATTCCACAAGAGAAAGTGGGGGGCGGTGAGAATCGAACCCGGGACACGAGGCTCTGATGATACCATGTAAAGAACCAATTCAACCCAAAAACTTAAGCTGGTGGATGAGGGCTTTTTAATGGTTTATACTATTCTCTAACAATGTCTAAGGCTTGTTCCATTGCTTTGCTCCTTCTCAGCATGCAAGGACAGGTATCTGTGTTTTGAATTTGATGATAGCTATGTTGCTGTTTTGGAGAGAGAAGCTGTTGCTGCTGCTTCATCCTCCATTCTGAGAGACTATAGTATCCCATCTGAAAGATCTTCTGATCTTTTGAAACCATATGTGGATTCACTAGAGGGTGACCAACCAGCAGGCCAAGAACTTGGTGATATCCCAGTTTCAAATTTTGAAATTGGCATTGATGGATTGCTCTGGGCATAATAAATTTGCACCTTGAAGATGTCAGTGGGAACTTTTATCATGGTGGCAATATTTCAAGCACGTTGTCACAATTTTTGGCAGCAAAAAGTGCAGCAACAGTATTAGGTAACCTTGATGTGAACACATGAATGGTTTTATGTTACCATGTGGGCATGCTGGAAGCGATAATTTTTTCTTCCTCTCTCTATTTCTCTATTATTAATTTGTTTTCAGAAAAGGATAGGACTATAGGAAAGTGAGTTCATGATTATTTTTTCCATGGTAGTGTTTTTTTTTTTTTTTGTCACTCTCCTTGATTTGATAAACCTGAAATATCTCTACAGGTTTGATCTCTCAATTTTTTACGTGCATTCTGTATTTTTAGGAAAATAATGCACATAGGAGTGACTCTTATAAGCCTTTTGATGTAATGTAAAATTTTACAATACATTTCAAGATGTTATTACTGCCCTGTTTAAATGGGCCTCATGTCTTGGTAATTTTGATTTTGTTCCGACGAGGAAGATTCAACTTCCATGATATTTCGGTTGTGTTTGGTTTCATTAAAAATTAAAAATAAATTAAGTTGAATTAAATTGATCAAGAAATTAATTTTATGTTTGAAACCCGTTATAAAATATGAATTAAATTTTATTTATAAATTAAATTTTGTTTGGAATGCACTAAAGATGATTTGCATTGGTTTTATATTAGTAATTTACTTTATTATCCTTGTTTAAAATTAGTTAAGTGACTTAATTAATAAAAGCAAAATGTCAATTTTAACAATGAAAACTAAAATCAATTTAAATCCAATCTAATTTAAATGGATTCTCATTTCAACATAACCAAAAATAAAATAAAATTTGTTCGGTCCTGGATAGACCGTATTGCTATACCGTGTGGTATGCGCTCAGAGATAGTGTATATCAAATGTATACTGGGCTTATAGCCGAGGTCCCAATCACTGCGCACGAGCAATAAGCTTATTGCCAAGGGGTGGGTGTGTGCACAGTGTGGGCAGAAATAGTAAATGAGTTCTCCATCTTTACCTGGGGTTCTTAGACTCTTATTTATAGGATTACCTTTCCAGGATTGTGCCTCTTAAATCCCCCAATTGTAGTAGGATTCCCCCTTTCTGTTGGGGTGTGATCCTTATCTTATATCCTTTTAATTGTTTGAGGTTGTTGAGATGTAACTGATTCAATATCCCTCTGGATATTATAGTAGGTAGTTGGGATATGATATTCATATCCATAACAAAATCAAAACAAATAAATTTCTGTTTTATATCTTTTCAAAGAATTACATAAGCTTATTTTGTGAGTTGGTAAGATACAGATTACAGCATTAGAAAGGAAAAATGCTTGATTCAACATTATCGTCTACTGTAATAAGCCATATTTTTTTTGTTGAATATTAAAAATCTGATGTATTTCCAAGACATGAATAAATAGTATTCAAAATTGTTTTGATGGCAAAGAAAAACAGTTTAAGGCATTACGGTTTTCTTTGGGTGTCAAAAACACTTCAAATTGTTGAGAGTGGGATTTGAACCCACGCCCTTTCGGACCAGAACCTTAATCTGGCGCCTTAGACCAACTCGGCCATCTCAACATGGTGCTGGATTTGGGTCAAAAGAAATTATTGTATATTAATCAAAAGCAAGTCACAAGATTGAAGAAAATCTGGCTATTGGTGAAGTGGGCTGTCATATTTTTGGCACTTGCAAAGAGTGACACTATCTCCACGATTTGCTGTCCATGCTCCATGCCATCTAGTCCCTACCATTGGGAAAAATCTAATATATTCTCACCCTCTGAATATTAAGTAGATTTAGTGGGATGATATTTCAAAATAAAATTATAAATTATGTATTTCGAAAAATATATAATTATAATATTAAAGTTTTTTTTTAAAAAGATGTGTCATACTTTTATTGATCCGCACATGAGGATAGTAATGAAAATCTTCTCCTATCATTCACAGTATGGGATTTCATTGTCAATGATATTAAAAAAAGAGTTTTATTAATCTCATGTTAAATGAAATAAATTATCTTATATTATAGAGATAAACTTGTGAGTTCCATCACCTAAAAAAAAAAAAAGATGACACAAGTATCGAAGGATGTCTAGATGAAAAACTTATCTCATATCCCTTAAAAAAAATAGTGTGATGCATATAATACTACCCAACGATCAAAAACCAATCTTTGCATAGTATGTGCTGTCCGTGATTGAAATATGACAAAGTTCACAAAGTAGAAATAATGCGAAGTGACCCAAGAACCAACCAAATTAAAGAAGGAAGGTAAGCCTGCATGAAAGAAGAAAGAATAGTAGTTAAGATTCCTGTCCTCTTTTACCATTTGTTAGACCTACTTTTTCCTATGTTTCTCACCACTTGCTACTATTAATTTATTGTACTTATATGCACAATGCACTACGTTGGATTTTTAACCCCTCATTTAAAGAGTCACACTCTTTAAATGATAAAATAACTCACTGAAAATACATCAGTGTAAAAGTAACATATCCCAATTAAATATATGGTTCTTTCAGTTATACAGTTCCCACTTAATTTATTTTTATCGAGCATAGATCTTTACCACTTAGGTTTAAACTCTCAGCTCCTATAAATTACTAGTAACAATCCTTCATGTTTTATGTTCTTATTTTTTGTGTTTATTTTTATGCCAGTGACTCCTAGTATTCATGTGCTGCACCACAAGGCAATTACTTGTCAACTTTGTCTCGTAGCATACAATGTGCAGCTGTGAGATGAAAAAGGCTTCAATCATCAATTGCCACTGAAAATTGGGAGCCCACCACCACTTCTGGTAGACCCTTTTTTAAGTTTTGTGTCTCAATCATGAACCTCCTCACTTCCTCCAAGAACAGTTTTCTCTCATAGACACATTCATTAAAGTGTTCATCATCATAAAGCAATTAATTTTTCGCCATCATTTATGGCTTCCTTTTGGTCATTCTCGGCAATATTCATGGCCTTAATGGCATGCAATTGTTCATTGGCCTTGGCTTCTCTACAAAGCATGCATGTTTCCACCATCTCAGCAGCACCAACCATGTTACCAGATGCCCCTTTGTTCTCTCCTACCATGTCACCAGATATTCAGCCATTGTTTCCTACCCCAGGTGGAGCTGCTTACTCTCCATCAGAGTCTTCATTACCAACCATTCCTTCAAGCCCGAGCCCTCCCAACCCTGAAGTACTAGGTAATCCAGGGTCTGTTTTGGCTTTTCCACCATCAGAGTCTATGCCAGTTTCTGCCCCTTTTTCTCAGGGTGCATCTTTGCCACTGTGTTCAATTTTTCATCTGGCCATGCTGGTAATTTGCATAGTACAGCTTCATGGCATGTGAGTAGATGTTCATGTTGGTGTTTCTGCTTATGTCTCAAAAGCATGTTTTCTCAGCATTAAATGTTTAGTATATGTAGTGAGTGCACAGCAAGGCATTGTTGACTGTTGTTGAGTGCTGGTTGTATAATGTTTCAAATGTTTAAGACTAGTAAACATAAATGTCCGTTATTATGGTTAATTTAAATGTAGAAATAACAATTGAGGATAAATTTTTCATCGTTATATCAGTTCAGAAGTAACTCAGGATATGTAATTGAAAACTTATGGTGTTTTAGCTTTACTCTCTCTTTTTAAAAAAAAAAAAGAAGTATATCTTACTTTTTTTGTAGTATATATTATAGTAGTGGTTTAAAAAATTTTATTTCTTTAACATCACTTTAAAAATACAGAGATATTCTCCTCCTTATATATGGCCAAATAAACTCGGCAATGGACTGAACCATAGATGCCTTTCCCTAGGACCGCAAATCCTTTTGATGTGGCAGAAAAGAACCTTTTAATGACTCTGCTTCGTGCGCACTTGGCATTAAATACAGGAGAAAGCATTTTAGCCATGAAAAAAGAGATAGGCACATGGGTGGACTACAACATAAATAACAAATAAAATATTGAGACAATTGGAATATGCTTATCTCGCTAACGAAGAACATTTGCAAAATATTAGTTAAATAAGAAAGTATACTAGGATTCTCAGACTAGGAACATGTTGTACATAAGATATCTAAGCTGATTTGGCAAGTCCCTATCATATATTTTCATCTTTATAAGATTGTTCTACAGAACTATGCTATTTAGTATTTACTTAGTGAACCACATCTAGAGAGCTATAATACTAGGCTGATTCCTTGGAATCCCATTAAACAACTTCCCCGATAATGCTCCAATGAGTTTGTTGAATTCAAATGGGTTCTTCCATTTCTTGGTAGACTCCTTAGCAATGAAGCTTCTCATCTTTACATTCTCCTGCTTCAGCACATCTATTGCTAAACTCAGGTGTCTTATCACCTCTATTTTCTCTTCATCTTTCTGCTTGAGATGATCCTTCTGTGCCTTATTTTCCTCTCTGAGTCTTTCTATCTCTTCCCTTAAGAGCATTACTTCATCACAAATGGTTTGTTTCTGCTTGAGTTCATCCTTCTGTGCTCCATTCTCTTTTCTGAGTCGTTCTATTTCTTCCCTCAACATCATTACTTCATCACAGATGTCATATTTCTTGTTGATTTGGAACTTGTGAGCCTTGTTCTCTTCACTAAGTCTCTCAATTTCTTTCCTCAACCTCATCACTTCATCATCATTTGCAGCTACAAACTGAACTTCCTCCTCTTCTGTACTGTTATCAAATTTGGTATTCACTTCCCCTTCTTGCTCAGGATCATCAACCTCAGATTCCCCAGACTCCTCTTCATCACAATTCTCAGAATAGCTATCATAACCATTATATGCAAAATTCACCAACTTCTCTGATTGATACTTGGGTGAAGGAATAGGGGATCCTCCTGTCTTCAGCATGCGAATTCCAGTGTCAGGTTTGACTTGATCATACCGCTCAGCTAATGAGCGGTGCGTCCGGTAGAAATCTTCAACCATGCTCACAAGCTCTGGTCTCTTCTTGTAATACATCTCTGCACGTTGTGCAAAGGAATCTGCATCTTCTTCAATTAATTTTAACAATGCCTTTGTCTTCTCGTTTAGCTCTGCCATAACAAACACATATCAGTGAATTTCTCCTTTTAACTCTCAGCAATAAAATCATATTCCATGATTACACATTTACACTATAGTAGTATATGTAACACAAAAGGCCTAGATACTAGATGTATGTCATAATCAAACGAAATACTGGTTGCTTGAACGGTTAAATGCAGAGAGCAAAAGCCAAAAAGGTAGCAAGAGAAAAAAAAAAAAAAAAAAAAAAGTCTATAGAAGTAACAATTATGAAGTAATAACGGAAACTCATAACCTTTTCACTTTTCTATACTAGTACTTACTTTCCTCTTATCTCCTTTTAAGCCCTCGTACCTTCTTTTGAGAAGGGGATGGGTTTCAAGTAATTTTTAGTTTAGGTAGAGAGACACATGTGGGTCCAAAACTTAATAGGCTACAAAGAAAGGAGCATGGGTCTACTTGGGACAAATCGTGAAAGTAATAACAAAGTGCCAGAGAATGATTGGTGGACCTGAGTCATTCAAATGTAATGCCCTTATTACAAGGGTAACTAACACACCATCATTCTTCATGCAATTAAAACATCATTGAATGCATGTTACTCATGAAAAACAATGCCGCGAAAATCATAGGCCTGTTAGTTATGTCATTTATTTCCCATTTCCCAAATTCCATATGCTTGAAAAACAAGGGCAACCTACTAAGCCAACCTGACTTTTCAGTGCATCTAATTTACGAGAACCATTCAATTGCAGAGTTTGACAAAAAATTCATGCCATTAATTAAGCAAATATGTTATAAAGGAAATCAATTTTCAGAATGCACGGTTGCCATATATAAGGTCAAAACTCTAAGAGTAAACAAATATATAAAAAGAAATTCTTATACCAAATTACTAAGAGGAAGGAAGTGGATACCATTCAGTGTGGATTGAAGCCATGGGGATCGTCTAATGCTGCTTTGGCTGTCAAGCCACCACCATTGTGACGGTTTCTTCTTCATCATTTCAGCCATCATCTTCTCCCACACTATTTTCTTGGATATCACCAACACCAAGATCCTATATATGAAAAAACATAGAATAAAACAACAAAAAAGTAACCTTGAATTTCCCAAACAAAGATTGCAAATTCATCATAACATAATAACTTACACGTCTTAGTCACAAAACTTAAAAAAAAACATAAAAACTTAGAATATTAAGATAAGAATGAAAAGCACCAAACATATCAAATAATTTGCACCGACTGAGACCCTGAAACCGCCTTCGTTATTTACAAGACAGCACACGCAAACAAACATAAAAGTCCTCGAAGACCGCCATTTCGTAGTGGGAAGCTTTCAAATTCAAAAACCTCAGACTAAAATAAAAGCCAGAAACATATATGAACAAAAAAAAAAGATCAAATTCATTAAACGAAATAAACAACTAATATTGAATCTTAAATGGAGAAAAAAAAACTAGAAAACTCAAACAAATCCTCGAACTATTTTTCTAGATTTCAATCATTTGAGGTTACACCAGTTTATAAAAAACGTCGAGAATGGGCACCGACGGGAACCAAAAGGACAAAAGACTCCAACTTTGCAATGCCCATCACGCAAATGTGTGTGTATATACGAAGAAGAAAGAGAGAAGTAGTGAAGTACCCACCTGGTTCAATTCAACTCGTAAGAGTGACTCGTTGTTTAACTCAGTGTTTTCTCCACTGTGGTGAAGTAGAGTCCAGCGAGTTGGACTATATAAATACTGTATTTTCATGTTTTTTGAATTTCTTTGTTTCAATTCAAGAGGCTTCCACCAGTCATGTTGTGACACGTGTATTTGACATTCACTTCACCAACCCCTCTGCCTCGAGCCAAATGCAAAAATACAACTAATGCTTAGTTACCATATTGATTCATTCAGATTGAGATCCTCCTCATTTACTCATTGACTTTGCCACCAAATATGGGAGGGATTTAAATTCAAAACATGAAAAAATAACAGGTGTAAGTGTTTTTTGGTTGCGGATTATTAATAAAATAATGATTTAATAACAATGATTAATTGGACATTTAAGAAGAATCTGGTTTGGCAGATTGTGCAAAGCAATAAGATATCATATCTAATAAATATGGGAAAATAATAACAGTGGATGTTGCTCTGTCACTTGGGGGGCTTTGGATGTGGAACGCAGGGAGCGTGTGCTCTTATTATGTTAATACAAAAATTTTGATGTAACGGTCAGAATCCGAATCAATGAAAATATTGCATGGAAACTTTCATTTATATACTTTCCCCTAATATGTTTTTCTTTTTTCTTTTTTGTTTCAACAAAATTAGGTAATTCATCAACTTAATCAATTGTTTTATTTATTAGGGAAAATCTAAAAAACAAGAAAGCAAAATTGAAGTACTTTTTGAGGGGAGAGGGGAAATATCTGTTTAATAACTCCAGCCCCCCCCCCCCCCCCCCCCCCCCCCCCGTTAATTAAGATCAGAGTCATTACAATTAATCTGATAACTTAAATTGGGAGAGTAGATCCAGCAAAAAGGAAAAAAATATTATGGAAGTCAAAGACTGGGCGTTACTGTAGGATTATGATTATAATATTAAGGGTTTGGTGTTAATTCTTTTAAGTGAGAAAAGATATACACAATAGAAATTATGGAAAAAGAAAGTAAGTGAACTTTTTTTAATTTAAATTTTAAATAAAAAACACTAATTTTAACTAAAATAACCTTCCTTTATATTGATGCTCAGAGAATTCATTGAATTATTCATTACTCTAAGGATTTGTTACAAGAATAAATCGATACAAAGGGCACTAATATGTATATATACACACCTAATCAAAGAGAGCCAAGAAAGAAAAACCACAAAATTGAATAACTAAATTAGTTATTAATAGAAATTACTCTAACAGACTTTTTCTATTCTATTGTGATTGGTTGGCCACATGTAACCGCCCTCTGACGTGGAATATGGCAAGCACTTGAAGTTGGCTACTGTAGTTGAACTGTGTGGACTTAATACAACTTGTAGTTGCATTGGGTTGTATTACCCCTCTACGAGTTGGACCGTGGAAGTTGACAAGGCCCAACTTGGTGAGAGGAGAACGAAAGGCATTAAGGAGAAGAACTTTTGTAAATGTATCAGGTAGTTGACCAGAAGAAGTCACAGGAAGTAAACAGAGAAGACCAACATGTAGCTTTTCACGTGTGACATGGCAGTCGATCTCTATATCTTTGGATTGCTCATGGATCGCAGGGTTGCATTTTCATTTTTCAAATTTGCATTTTGAACAAATTGAACAAAAGATTGAAGGTGCTTTCGTGTTTCAGATTTTTGCATTTCATCAATACAATCCAGGTGAATCTCAAGCAATCATCTACCAAGGTCAAGAAATACATATGACCATGGATGGAAGTGGTAGAGTAGAGACCCCGTATATCAGCATGCAACAACTCAAACATCATACTGCTTTTATTCTAATTTAGAGGAAAAGACAATTTTCTTTGCTTTCCCATATGCCAGACGTCACAAGGTTCAATGTGGGATGAAGGTACAAATGAAAATTGAAGAGACATAGACTGAGAAATTCTCTTTGAAACATGGCCTAAGCATAGATGCCATAACAAAGATACATCTTCTAAAACTTTATTTTGTAATCTATTACATTTATTTCTAAAGAAAACAGCTGGTGGCATGGGCTTGTGTTCTTTGATCAACATTGCTTCATTCTTTACCACATACAGCCCTCCACATAACTCAGCAGTATTAATCGTCGTCTGGTAGTTTGAAATTCTCTATTGAATGAAACAATGAGATTTATCAAAAACAAGATGATGGGGGTTTGAACTTAAAAGCTTGGAAACAGAAAGAAAATTGATGCAAAAATTTGGTACATATAACACGTTGGTGAGAGTGAGTGTGGCATTAATTTGAATTGTGCCAGCTATGAGGCAGTTACTTTGGTCCCATTGGGCAAAGAAATAGAAATAGGTTGTATTTTGGGAAAAGATGAAAATTGTAAAATAAGGAAGGCAATGTGATTGGTAGCACCTGTGTCGATGACCCACTCAATCACGTTGATACATGAATTTTGATTCTCAGTAATGGAATTGGAAGCAAGAACAACATTAGCAGCGTGCATAGATGAACTGGTTTCAGTGACAGATGGCTTCTGCAACAGATTCAAGATTTGTTGGTACTGATCTTGAATCATGTTTATTGTTGGAGTTTGATCCTGAGACGATTCTTCATTGATGGAAATGCTGTTAACTGTGCTATTCTTATAACCTGGTGGAAAGCCATAGAGGATAGCAAGTTTCAATTGTATGGTTGGTTCGATGACGATGAGTACACAATTTACCAGAACTAGGACCTCTTCCACTGTATCCACAGCCTCCGCATCCTCTGAACGAATGACCACCACGTGCATTTTCATAACTTCCTTTTCAAAAATTTCCTTGATCATTGATTGCTGCTAGAGCATGAGTATAATTCGAAAAATTGTGGCTATCTTCCGAATGAAATTGATGTTCTTGCTGAGTAACTAAGGAAAAAAACTTCACAACAGTAGGCATTGGCTCCATCATTATGATCTGCGAGCGAACTTGACCATATTGATCATTCAATCCACACAAGAACCTTATCGTGCGATCTTGCTCGCGATACAGCCTCATCTAAGGTGTCGCACAACAATTACAGGGAACTATTGGATTAGGAAGGGGTTGCAAATTATCTAACTCATCCCAAAGAGTTTTGAGATGAGTGAAATACTTTGAAATTGACTTGTCACCCTATCGCAACTTGTACATTTCTTCTTGTAAATCAAAGATTTGAAACTTATCTGATTGGGAAAATCTGTTGCGGATATCCTTCCATGCATATAAAGCCTTTTCGATCCGTAGTATTAATTGTGTAATGGTTTGTGAGATGGATCTGTGAATCCAACCCAAAACCATCGTATTACAATGTTCCCAAGCATGAAACTCAAGATCATCCTCTTTGGGAAAATTGCATCATCAGCGATGAGACTCAACTTGTTATTTGATCGTAGCACCATGGAGAAAGCTTGAGCCCACGAATGATAGTTGCAGCCATTGAGGATTGAAGTAACAAGAACTTGCAATGGGTTCTCGTTTGGATGAAGAAAGAATGGGTGAGATGGATTAGTGAGGAATGTTGGAAGCTATTCTTGATTAGCCATGAACAAGTAGATGAAAAAAAATTAGAGATCTGAAGCGGATATCAGAGTCATTTAAGCTCTGATACCATATTGATGCTCAGAGAATTCATTGAATTATTCTTTACTCTGAAGGATTTGTTACAAGAATGAATCGATACAAAGGGCACTACTGTATATATACACAACTAATCAAAGAGAGCCAAAAAAGAAAACTCGCAAAATTGAATTTAGTTATTAACAGAAACTACTCTAACAGAGTTTTTCTATTCTGTTGTGATTGGTTGGCCACATGTAACCGCCATCTGACATGGAATATGGCAAGCACTTGAAGTTGGCGAGTTTTTCTATTCTGTTGTGATTGGTTGGCCACATGTAACCGCCATCTGACATGGAATATGGCAAGCACTTGAAGTTGGCTACTGTAATTGAACTGTGTGAACTTAATACAACTTATGGTTTAGCTGTCTGAGCTGAGGTTGGGCCATTTGTATTTGTATTGAGCTATATTACTTTAAAAGGATAAATATTTTTTCATAATATTAATGATAGTTACGGTTGTAATATTATTATATTCACAGTCATTATCAATGCTAGTAATTATCATTAATATTATAATTGTAACCATCATTAATATTATAATCATAACCTTTGAAAAAAAATATTATTTTTATAGTTTAGATTAAATTCCGTTATTTTGTTGATATATTACAAAGTTTGTTTTAGCACGAGTATTGGCCGAATTTTCAAATAATCATTTAATAATTAGATAATTATTAATGCTAATAATTATAATTAATATTATAATTGTAACACTGAATAATTTATTTTTTAAAATTTTTATATTTTAGATGCAGTTTCGCTATTTTGTTAATATATTATAAAGTTTGTTTTGGCGGGAGTGTTGTCTGTATTATCAAATAATCTTTTAGTAATTAGATAATTGAAGAGAGAGAGAGAAGGGGGGGGAAAGTTAAATTTAATATAAGTTGCAAAACCTTCATTCAAAATAAAAATTATAATTAGTTCATTTAATAATTAACTCAATAGCAATGAATTTGCTTTTCTTCTTCATCGCCGTCTATTTTAGTGTTTCACAAGCAGGTCCTGAATATAGAGATAGCAATGTTTCCCAGCTAAAACCAATATGCATTATTACATAAGTACTTGTCACTCACATTCTCTCGCAAACTCGAATAACTGACATTAAAATTTTTGTCAACTAATAAAAATAACTGGTTTAGCACTTGAGCCATCCTTAATTTGTCTGCAATACCGGATAGAAATGTTACTTTAAAGGTGGTTAACGATATCTTAACCGTAAGTTTGATCGAGTAGTGAGGAATTTGAATAATTCGTATTAAATTATGTGTTTAATTCTCATCGTTATATATAAATAAGGAAAAATTTCAAAAAATTCTCAATAAATTTCTTCAGAATCACTTATCTCTTCCTCAAAATTTTTAATCATTTATACTCCTACTTAATTTTTTTTTTATCATTTATCCCCTAACTTGATTTTCCATCCAAGTTAAACTTAACGGAGTTAATTTTTTTAAAAAATACCAAAACTATCTTTAAAGAAAAATAACACACAACACTAGACCTTACTGTTGGCAATCCATTTTCCATCATTTAAAGCTTCTTGTTGTTTTCCCTGATTTTTTGAAAATCCATTTTTTTGGCTGTCCAGACATGTTATCTAATGGATAGTGGTTAATGAAATAAAGTTTTTTGAGTGAACACAAATAATTCACATGTCTTCTTCAAAGAAGGTAATGGAATAATAGATTCACAAATATTTTGCATATAACTTTCTAGCTATGTGTGAAGCTTCTTGAGCTTATAACTTTTGTAAGCCGAAGCGTCTCTTTAATTTGCATCTCTTTTGTAAGTGGAAGCGTCTCTTTAATTAGCTTCTTGGGGCTAAAGGTATCTACTCTTTGCAACTCTTGTGACCCACAGTTGAAGCTGTGGTAAGATAACCCAGAGATTTTACTAGTTCAACGTCTTCTGTAATCCCTACAACTATGGTTGAAGGTTCAAGAATGTATTCCAGTCGAAGATCCATTGGCATTAGAAGAATGCCAGAATCCATTTCAATCGTAGTAGTCACTGCAGTAAATGGGAACCTAGTTCCTACCATTCTCTGTTGGAGTAATCAGTAAATGCCTTTTGGATTAATGCAAGGTAGAACCACTGTTTATCTCTTGCTAGCAATAAGGTGTCGAGTTAATATAGGGTTTAATTTTTTTTATTTTTTATTTTAATGATAGTTTTGGTATTTTTTTTTTTAAAAATTAACACTGTTAAGTTTAACTTGGATGGAAAATCAAATTAGGGAAGAAATGATAAAAAAAGTTTTAAGTAAGGGTGTAAATGATTAAAAATTTTGGGGAGGGGATAAGTGAGTCTGAAGAAACTTATAGGGTTTTTTGAAGTTTTTCCTAAAAATAATAATAGAAAAATATTTCTGCAGTTACTGCAGATAAATTATCTATCTTTACTTCCAAAATGATGTCATTTTAGAATTAAAATATTAAAAAATTATAATTATAAAGACTATAATAATCTTGAAATAAATTAAAATTACAAAAACATCATGATTTTCGTCTTAAAATAACATCGTATTGAGCTTACTTTAAATAACTTATTTACATTAACTACAAGCGAACCCAATAATAATGTGTTAACTGTTAAGTTGGAAGCAATCACTCATTTACTATGGCTAACATAGCACTTAGGGGACGTTTGGTTGAGGAGAAAATTTTATAAATAATAGGAAAATGTGATTACTATGGAAATAGTTGGAATGTGAGTTTGATAGGAAAATGTAAAAAAAGTTGTTTGGTTGGATAAATTTTGATGGGGAAATTAGGTAACTTTTATAAAGTCTATGTTTGGGTGTAGGTAAAATATAGATGGGAAAAAAAGTTGTTTTTACGAAAATAACCCCGTTTTATTTTTATTTTTTTAATCTATGTGTTTTTTACATTTAAATCAACCTCATTATTTAAGGTCCCAACTGAATTCTGCCACACTAGCACTTATGACATATACTTGTATGTACTTCATGTACATAGATTGTCTCGTAGCAAAGTATAGCCACGTTGCAGCCCACATCAGTTCATCCTGCAGTTGAAAGAAAGCATAGTTAATTATCAGAAGGATATAACGGTCTGCAAGAAATTTTATGTACAGTAATTTAGTCTGCTTTCCAAATAAAACCACCTACCTTTTGTCTTTCTAAACAGTGTCAATTCCTATGCAAATTGAAAAAATTGAAAAAGCAATGAAAATTGGATGGATGAAAATTTTGAGTGAATATGTTGAACCAAACAAGTGCAAACAGAAATGCTTGCTTCATTTGCATAGGAAAGTTTCCAAAAACCATAAACCAAACACCACCTTAGGTATAATCAGATACTGAGTAGACATATTATCATTATGAAAAATATTACAAAGGCAGGAAAACTTATATTCTACAAAAAAATTTATTTCGTCATAGAAAGTGAAAAAATGTTGTAAAAAAAATCACTTATATTCTACAAAATTCAAGATGGCACCGAACCCAATCCATAAGTTGCTATTGGGTAAGGCCTTTTTGATCCCAACCAGCCCGAACCTTCACTTCTCATATCTCACGTTCCTCAGTCCTCACTCAGTATGGAGTTTGGAAGGAACCACTTCTCACTCGGTTCTGACTTGTTTCCTTTCACACTCTGATCGCAAGGGTTAAACATCAATTCTTGTCATGGTTCAGAGGGAAGGGGTTTCATGCACTTTTGGTTCAAGTTCTGGGTCTGTCTAGTTTATTCCTTTTGGTTTTACTTTTAACTTCATTTTTATTTTTTTTTGAAAATTCAGCTTAATCCAAGTAAAAATGTGCATATGTCACTCTGGGTAGGACTAGTGCTTCGTTTCTTCGACAAAAGGAAAAACTTTTCGTGAAAATTTTCGATCTTTACCATTTAGGCTTTTTGTTTTATCAGCTTAGGGGTTTAGAAGAATTGAATTGAGAAATTGGGGCAATGGCCTCCGACAAGGTTTAAGAAAGAGGTTGAAGATGTCGTTTAGGAGTATCATCCTGGATAGGAAGGGATTTGAGGTGAAGTTTGGGTATGGTATGAGATCCAGGTCACAGTCACACAGTGATGTTATTGCCCAGGATAGTTTGGTGGTGCTTGATGGCTTGAAGCAGAGTTGTTGGGCTAACATGCCCCCAGAGCTTTTGAGGGATGTTCTCATGAGGATAGAGGCCTCAGAAAACACCTGGCCTTCCCGGAAACATGTCGTCGCCTGCGCCGGTGTTTGCCGCAGTTGGAGAGACATTATGAAGGAAATTGTCAAATCTCCTCAAGTATCCAGCATGTTGACATTCCCAATCTCCTTGAAGCAGGTCTTACTTGTCACCACACTTTTACCTGTGTAGATAATTTAATGCTAAGCTTAGATTCATTAAGCTTCCTTTCAATGTATGTGTTTTAAGTTTTTTTTTGTTCGTTTGTGTATTCTATCTTGTCTGTTGCTATAAATTACTTAATTCAATTCAAGTAGTCAGCTCCCCACTTGCTAGTGTTTGGTTTGTTAACTTTTTGAGTAAAACTCACAGAACTTTGTTATTGACTAGACATTGTTTTAAGCTTAAGTAGTTTGGTTTTCTTGACAGTGGTGTATTTATATTCTTCAATGGTATATGTGATCTTGATGACGATACTTCAATTGGGGAAGATTGATGAGTTACATTGTTTTATAGAAATTATTTGCTGTTTGATGCTGCTCTTACACAGAAGAAAGTAAGAAACTACAATCAATAAACCCTTATTTGTTGGGAGGCATGGTTGGGTGTTGTGGGGTTACTTTGGCTGTGTGTACAGTGCGGTGAATTCCCAACCCACACGTCTCCCCAAAAGAGTGAGTTAGTAAGAGAGCAAGAAAGATTGTTGGAATTGGATTACTTTTGTAAATGAAATTGTTCGGTAGTCAGTTATAAATTTATGGCATATGGATGCCTTCTTCTTCAATTAACACATGGGGATTCGTGGTATTGTTGTCATGTGAAAAGAGCGATAGCATTAGCAGTTTAGCACACCCCTCATTGCCCAACTCTTCATGTTATCTTTTTTCTACTGTTATGAAGTGAAATATTTAAGTGAAATTTGTACGAAGCTTGGGTGAGGCTAGCTCATAGGGTAGGAGAGCCCAAAGTCCATATAAACTCCATACCAAAATCTTATGTTTCCAATGTGGGGACTTTAAGTCCCATACCTTGCAATTGGACTGTAACATCCCACCATGCTCCATGCTCCATAGTCCTAGTGCCTACGTGGGCTAACTTAGCACTAGTCTTTTACTAGCCCTGCGCGAACACTGCAATGTAAGCGTCACCATCACCAGCCGCGTCGCTCAATTGCAACTGTGAGACATAGTGGAAGGCTCTGATACCAATTGATACGAACTTTGGGAGAGCCTCACCCCAAAAGCTAACTCATAGGATAGGAGAGCTCAAAGTCCATATAAACCCCACACCAGAACCTTATGTTTCCAATGGGGGACTTCAAGTCTCATACCTTGCAATTGGACCGTAATAGAGATCTACCTGCAACATTTTGAATGTGACAGAGGTGATAAAGAAACATGCAAAAGTGGTGTGCAAATAGAATTGCTTATGTAAAAACATGTTTTAGTATACTAATGGTGACTGTTACTTTCTTTTTGTTTTTTATCCCAAGATCAGCTGTATTATTGTTTCATATGTGTTATATCCTATATCTTTGTACATCTAAATCTCTTTAAGCATTATTGATATTACATATTTTTTTCTATGAGATCAGGAGTGTGTAAGAAAATTTGGTGGCATGGATGAATTTTCCAGTATGCAATTACCTGTACCTTGTTTATCCACTGGACTAATGTTTGCATGTATATCGGAGACAATATGATCCTTGCACTGCTTGCTTTTAGCTCAATTTCTCACAAGTGGCAATAGGGTAAAATAAGTATTGACTTCTGTTACAATTTTTTCCATTGGGATACAGAAGTTTCATCTTATGTGAACAGTGCTGAATGTACTTGTTTTACATCTTTCTCAACTTCTGTTTAACTAGGAAAACTCCTTTATAACTTTTCAGTTTAAGCATACAAGTAATACTAGTTTCTTTCTTACTACACAAAGGAAGTAAAAACAGATCTACATTGAAACATTATTAGTATTGGCTGTATACAGTAATATTAGTAGCTATTAGAGTTTGAGAATCAAAAGAAAATGATAGAAGTTGAAGGAAATTTTAGAAAGAAATCTGAGAAAGATAGAGAGAGATGATGAGACTTCAAACTGAACTGATATTCTTAGTGATCTCTGTAGAGATCTGTTCCTAATATTGAGGTAACCCCTAACTGCTAGGAACGAAAATAAAGAGGGTTGACAAAAGATATGGAGCATATACTAGAAGAAATAAGAGAAACAGTTAGACAGTTAAGATGACAGTTAGGAGAGTTAGTTGGGTCAAGTGGTTAAATAATAGAAATTGTATAGGGGGGATTATCTTTTGAAAAACTATTATATACCGAGAGCATTGCTCTGGTGAAAAAGGGGAAACTCTTGGAGGAGGTCTTTATCTCCTTGGTTCATAGGGATGAAATAACTGAAACTACTTTCTCTTCCTTTCTCTCTTTCTCTATCTCTCTAATCCCCATCTCAGGATCTCATTCTCCCTGAGATCGTATCACTAACTGACTAATTCACTGACAGTTGTCAGTTGTAACTGAATGCATAAACACCAGAATATGGCATGTGCTCATTAGTGATCTTCACATAAACCAACTACTTTAACAGTAGCATGAAAGAATTAGTATTATTCAGTATTCTAGTTGTTGTAGGTGTGAATTTGGTTGAAATTGTTTTGCATGTACTCCAACTAAAAACATTCATCATGATCTAGTATTTACTGAAAAATTTGGTTCCTATCATTATAAAGTTCTTAATCTATTGTTAGGAAGGTCATTACTCTTGTTAATTGTCCACCTTTTCATCGTGAAACACCAATTGACTTTTAATTATCATCATGCAGCCTGGTCCAAGGGACTCTCTTCTTCAGTGCTATATTAGACGAAATCGCGGTAATCAAACATATTATTTGTTTCTTGGTTTAAACCAAGGTGAGCACTACCAGGCATTTGAAATTAATCTGTGTGGTATAATGCTTTCTAAACTTGGTGACTCGTAGGTTGGATTTGTAGTCATCACTTTTCCTTGAAGCTGTAATAATATAATGTTTAGAGAAGAACTCCCTTTTTTCTTTCCCTCTATATCCTTTGATGCATTTGTGATGTTTATTTATATAATCTGGCAGCCTCAACTGACGATGACAAGTTCCTGCTTGCTGCACGAAAGTTTCGACGGGCAACCCACACTGACTATATCATATCTCTAAACAATGGCGATGTATCAAGAGGGAGCAGCACCTATATTGGGAAGTTGAGGTATTCTAACTGATATTTGAGATGATTGTTAATTATAATCTTCTGTACCTAAAATTGCTCTCTTTTTCTACTTTGGTAATAGATCAAACTTTCTGGGCACCAAATTCACCGTGTATGATGCACGCCCTCCAATTTGTGGAGCCAAAGTTACAAAGTCTCGTTCTACCAGGCTAGTTAGTCTCAAGCAAGTGTCTCCAAGAGTTCCTGCTGGCAACTATCCTATTGCGCATATCTCATATGATCTGAATGTTTTGGGCTCTAGGTATTAGTATTGTTACTAAAAAAGTCTCTATTTTGGGTGAAGAGTATTATGTGGACTATAATGTTTAAATGAAAATCTTTGGTGGCCTTTTCTCTGTTATTGATAGTTCGCCACTTTCCTTTAAATTGGTGGAACTATTGTTCAGTTATTATATTCAATTCTTATTTAGAATATATATAAGTTAGTTGCCAAATTGTTAACAGGGGCCCTAGGATAATGCAATGTGTTATGGATGCTATCCCTGCCTCAGCTGTTGAACCTGGAGGTGTGGCCCCGACACAGACTCAATTTCTTCATAGCAGAATTGATACTTCTCCATCTATCCCTTTCTTTAGATCAAAATCAACCCGCATGGAGAATCTCCAATCTGTACCTTTGACTTGTCAAAATGAGGGGACACTGGTATTACGAAACAAGTCCCCTAGGTGGCATGAACAACTCCAATGCTGGTGTCTTAACTTCAATGGACGAGTAACAGTTGCTTCAGTAAAAAATTTCCAGCTGGTTGCTTCTCCTAAAAATGGAGTTTCTGAGCAGGCTCAGGAAAATGTCATTCTACAGTTTGGAAAAGTCGGAAAGGATGTATTCACCATGGATTACCAGTATCCAATCTCTGCCTTTGAAGCATTTGCAATATGCCTTAGCAGCTTTGACACCAAGATTGCTTGTGAATAATTTCCGGCATTGACTGGCAGGTATTCTTAATGGTAATAGAGTAATATTAACAAGTCTACCAAAAAAAATATTTAATAAAAGTCAATATTTCATTATTTTAACCTGAAACTAATTGGTTCAACTTAACTATGTTGGGTGTGAAATTTTCATTTTGTTCAAATGTCAATTAGAAGCTGTATTTTATGCTCAGAGAGCTCTGTAGCCGTTGATCAACAAAATGCCAATGTGCAAATTGTGATTTTTGAGTGACTTGTTATAATGTTACAGGAACCACCATATTGTAAAAGAGATTTTGTCTTGTTATAATATTCGGTTCGCATTTGGAACTCTTTAGGTAACTTTAAGGCTTATGAAGTTGCTGATTTTACTTGGCAGGTGTCGACCAGAGGTACTGCTGCTTGGAATTGATCAGAGTATTGCAAGTTCAGATATAGGCCGTAGATTTTCTGCTTTTCTATTTGGTCCAGCTAGGCTTCAATGTCTTCCCCCTTCTACATTGTATATAATATATATGGTTGTATGTGTGTGCATTAAATTTAACCAACGTGGATTTTATGTTTGTGTTTTTGGCGTGCTAGTTTGCAGACAAACTTTTCTTTTTGTGGCATGAGTTTGCATCACCTTAGTTGCGATTGGTTTGTGAGCTTTCCATTAGTTTCCGTTTGATGCATTTGGTTTTGGCAATGTAAACCTGTTTTTGCTGCTACGTAGGCTTCCAAGAAATTCTATAACTTTACAGAGTGCAAACTTTGCTCCCAAGTCTTGATTGACAATTCATCCATACAGAAGGGAAAGGGTAGTCCTGGGTGTGTACTTTAAGAATTAAGTGGTAACTGGTAAGGGTCATTACTTCAAGTGCTACTGAAATTCAGTTGATATCTTATTCTTAGCTTGTGTGTGCTTATCAGTAATATTATGTGAAACTGTTGATTATTTTTTCTGAAGTCCTTGCACGTGTGTGGCCTATTAATGAATTTATGATTTAGTGTTGTGATTTTCTTGATTAAAAAAAAGAAGAAGAAAGATAAAGCTTCTGTTATGAACAATGTGTTCTCTTTCTTAAGCCAGAGTTTTCTGCCTATAAATATCATTTTTCCTTTTTAAAATGGAGAAGTCTATATCATTTTAAATGATACAAAGTTGTGTCATTTTAAATGAGAGAAAGAGATAAATCATAGGAGAGAGAATGAGGGGGAATTTTTTTTTAAAGATGTGGGTTTTCACCTTTTTGTGAGAGTGAAAAGATGTAAAGTGTGTCATTTAAAATGACATATCTTTTTTCCTTTTAAAATATAAACAAGCTTCTTAAGCTTAATTTTTTTTTCTTTGTAATTTTGCAATTGCGTGGAAATCGAGATTCGAGAGTGAGAACCCTAGCCTAGGAGATAGATTCTATGATTCAGGAATGTAACACTTAATTTTCTTTTATTACCAGGAAAAAAAAATAGTGAAATTACTTTCAATGTACTGGCTAACAGTAATGCCTTAACCATAGAAGTGAGAAGTTAAAAGAAAGAAAAATGCATTAATAAATGATCTTATTAAAAATAAGGCTAATAAATAATAATAGCCTCACTTAAAACTCTTTAGGACTTTAGTTGCCTCCACAGTTAAAACCCTTCAGAGTTTTACAGATCCATATAGCAAGCAGTACAGGACTGACCCGGTCAGAAACGAGGACTGATTGGGCCTTATGGACAAACCCCAAAAAAATAAAAAATAAGAAACTCCCCCAAACCCCTACTTAAGTGTAGGAATATGGAAATCTTTGTAAGCATCCATGACCTTGCAATCACAAAGCTTTATCATTTTTACAAGCTCATGTTTATTGAAGTCCAATTTTTTGAAAAAAATCAGGCCAAGGTGAAAAGGATTAATGGGCTTTATAATCATAATGAAGAACATAATAGCTTCACACTGAATAATTACTACATTTTATTTTGCTAAAATTTTAATTATTAAGAAGACGAGGTTGAGAGGAGGTCTAGGAGGACCCCAACCAGGGAATTTTATTCACCGGTCTTTTTTTTTTTTCTCTCTCTCACCTCTCTCTTCTTTCTCTTTCTACTTTTTTTTTTTCTCTTGAGGGATCAATAGGCCGGGAGCTCTACATTTTCTCTCCCCAACCAGGGCCCATGACTACCCCAAAAGATAAGGTAGGAAGAAAAGAGCAAGAGCTACTTTACCGTGCAAGATCAAAACAAATATAATGAAATGTGAAAACGAAAATTTTGTCCTCTTGCTCAGTGATATTTGATCAGCTTAAAGCTACAGTAGTAATTGTATCTATGTTGGACATGTTTCCACGTCACAGATTTCACGAACACTTGGGATATTCTTACGTGTATTATATATTAATTTTTTGTATTGATACAGATGAAAATATTATGATAATTGGATAAATGTTCATATTTTATTATACTAATACTAACTTTTGAAACACCAATTCTCTCTTTTGATTTGTGTTTTTATGTTAAGTTTATACCAATGATTTCTTGAATGCATGTTTTACCATTATATTTACCATTAACTACCTTTCAAGCCTACGAATCAAACGCTGGTAATCTTTTACAAGTTGTTTGTAGCTTCAGCTGTTTCTCTTTAAACTTGTTGCCATTGAATTTTGGCTGTTTGGTGAGTTTTTTTTTAGCCATTTTTTTTTTTTTAAAAAAACACTTATATTAAAAAATTTATTTGGCTGTCTACTTTAAGAAAAAACATAAGTAAAAGAAAAAAAGCTAAAAATTTTCTTTTTTTAAAAGTTAATAATTTTAACTTCTAAAAAAAGCAAATGGCAAAAACCAAATATTTTATTAAAAAATCTAAACAACTTTAACTTTTATAAAAAAAATATTTTTAAAATAAGCGAAGCATAAAAACTTTTTTAAGAACACAATCCAAACCGACTCTTTGTCATTATGATTCATGAACACAACTTAGCATATAGATTCTCATGGCCGGTTAATATTAAGATCAATCCATCTAAGCTTTAAGGTTCTTGTCGATACCTTCCTGTCTCACATTGTGTTCTGTCATTATCCTATCCTTTTCATTTGCAAGCAAATCCAACATGATGTTGGGGATCACTGCTTTCTTTTTTGTTGGTTGGTCAATTGGTCTTTTCCCTACTCTAAAATTTTGATCTCTCTCAAATAATTCCAGCTTATAATACGCTGCTATAGTTATATTTTATAAATCTAGCATCACAATATTTTTTTGTGGACTTTAAGAAACAAGAACATAAGCCAAACTTACACAGCAACTGAACAAGTTCACACTCTAGAAACAGAAATGGTTTTGAATTTGATTTGAGTGAAAGACAAAGCAAAGAAGTAAGAACAGCCTGTGAGATCCTCAGATTTAGCATTTTGGCACATTCTTCATGGCAACAACATCCCTTGTCAGAATAGAACATGGTGAGCAGAATTGTTGTCCCCTCTCGTGTCAATACTACTGCCATCATCAGCTATTGCAATTCAATTCTCTCCTCAAAATTTTAAAGAAAAAAAAAAAAAAAAAAAACTCTTATGATTTCATGTGTCTATTCAATCAAAATCAAATCCTTTGAAAACACGGATTAGAAGGGAACTCTGATAAAAATAATTTTCTTTCCTATAAATAATAATAATATCATTCTCAATTGGTCAATTGCTCAGGAAGCTTATGTTACGACGTCGTTTAATTGGGCATGTGTGTTCTCTTTCTCTGACCAGCTCTTTTAAGCCCAATGGATTTATCTTGGCCTAGAGACCCATATAGGCCCAGTAGTTGATTGACTTTCCCATCTTGATTTATAATTATGGGGAGGCAAATAAATGCACTGTAGATAATTATGCAATGAAAATTATTGCAAATGAAATTAATTAAGATATCAATTTTAGTACGCATGGAATTATATAATTACATTACATCTAAGTTTTCTTACACAAAATAATCTTCTGTACGTGATGTTTATTTGGTAGGTGGGTTTCTATTTTTTTACTGACAAAGTAACCTATGGTGTATACAAAACCGTTATTTAAACTAGGGATTTTCCTAGTACTTCTATCAACATGAGTAACAATGACCTGCTCGTCGTTATCACCACTTCATTGAACAAAAAGAAAGAAAGAAACAAGTAAGGATAAAGAAAAGGATGTGTAAGGACGTAGAAAAGCATAAATGCTTATTAAATATTAATAGACCAAGCAATGACCCACTTCCATGAGAATTGAGAGAAGGAAAATGAAAGATGTTTGTTGAGCTAGATAATAAAACAAATCAATCCATAGTCACCAAAGATTGATGGCTATATATGCTCCTTGTTTCCCATTAATATCAAGCAATTGAACTTGCACCCTAACATTAGAAAGAAAGAAAAAAAACTGAAACTACAAATCAGAATAGGAACCCCAAAGGTTATTTAGTACTGGTAGTAAAAGAAGGCAACTAAAAAAATAAAATAAAGTATGATACCTTATAACCTTATGTTATTCAAACAGAGTGAAATGGAAATTAAGATGAACATAAACGGCAGTGTTATTCTGGAATGAGTTGGGCCTTCAAGTTCAAAGAATCAAATGGGAACTGATTCATGTGCAGGGTTAACAAAAAAGTCAATGTCACCAGCAATTGGTCCCCAATGATGGATTTTGGACAGTTTAGTGGTCCTCTTTTGAGGTGGTCCATCAAAGTCCAAAAGTAGCTTAGTCCATGAATCTCAGCCACCAATTGTCCACCTCAAGCTTCGACCTTATGGACCACACTGGCCTTCAATGAACAGAAAAGCTTCACAGGACCATGATAAATACTGCATAAATCCACAGGTGACATTGATAACTCGAAGCTACAGCTTTAATTTATAACATCCTTCCTTTTCATATATTTGTTCTCATTTATTTCATTTTTTAATTATTGTGTTGGGGTGGGGAGAATTGAGAGTTATAGTTATGTCTGGTCCCAACACTTGAAATTATAACATATGATGTTACCTATTAACTACTTTCTGTACCACAAAACGTGACAGAACTTGGAAGATTCATACCATTTCTCCATTTATCTGTCCTCTCAGTTCTGTAAAATAATATACATATAATTGCCAGCAATATATTTCTTGGCAACTAGAAAGAGATTGAAGAATAGATTTCAGCCGTCATCTTATAGATAGCTGGCGCAAGTAAAGGGAAAACATCGAGAGAGAAAAATTAGTGGTCCAGGACTATTAACTATTGGGTGGTTTTTTTTTTGGAAAAATGAAAAAAAAAAAAATTCACTTTATTCATTTATATTTTTATCTATGTCCCAAATTTTTCAAAAGGAACTTGGTGGTCTTGAGCCACTAAATTTTTCTCAAAAACAATATATGATCCAAATTCGTCTCACTTCTTGCGAAAAATCTATTGTACTACAGGTGTAGATATATCGAGCCAATAAAAGTGTGACACATCAGTTTTGTATTGTATCGAAAAGAAAAAAATAAAAACAACTTTTATATTTTACATCATATCTTACACGTAAGATATAGTGGGATACATTGAATTTCATTGCATCCAATGCACTAAAATTGCTGTCCACGTGTTCCTGTTAATTTATATAATATACATCCTCTTTCTTTTTTTCTTTTTTGTAGAAATTATAAATCCTCTTTCTTATAAGGAAATATATACGAAATGTACGTTACATGTGAATCTTGCAACTCATTACGACTTCTTAATGAAACTAAGTACCACTAGGTTAGTCGACAATCCGTAATATATATCATCTCAATTTTTTTCTTTTTTGGAGAATGTATCATCTCAATTTAATTTAATTGATTA